TTCCCCCCCTCCCCCAAAACCCCTAAAGCCCCCTCCTCTCCCCTGCCCGCCTCCCGCGCCCCCCACACGGCAACCCCCTCTTCCCCTGCCCCCCCCTCCTTCGCCCGCCGCTAGCTCCCCGCCCGCCCGTCCTCCCCCTCTCCCCGCCCCCCCCCCTTGGGGCCCTCCGCCCCCGCCCTCCGTCTCTCTCCTCCCCGCGTCCCGTCTCCCTCTCGCCCGCTCGCCCCGACACCTCCCTCCCGCGCAGCCCCCCCCAGCCTCCGGCTCGCCTCGCCTCTCGTCTCCCACAACCAGACACCCCTCCGACCCCCAACCAGAACAGACCCAGCCGTCCCCCATACATAGACCCTCAGAACCGTATTCTGGTACCAGAGAGGGCCCACCGTACCGCTAACTGTGGTCCCCAACTCACGAATCAAGTGTGCCCAACGTAACGTTATACATGTGGCCCAAAGATCCACACTTACTGTGGCCCAACCATAACAATTCAGTGTCTGACACTAAGTAACAATTCAGTAGAGCACAAAAGTAACTTTTCTTGATGGAGCCCTAATAACGATTATCTGTAGCCCAAGTAAACGATTCTGTGGCCCTCAGTAACAAATACTGATGTCCCTCATAAACATTCACTGACTGTCCCTAAGTAACAATAACCTGTGGGCCCTAAGTAAACGTTTCTGTGCCCATAAGTAACGATCTCTGTGGCCCTCAGTAACAATTTGTACAGTCCCTGAAGTAAACAATACATTGTCCCTAAGTAACGTTTTCTGTGGCCCCTAAGTAACGTTTCTGTGGCCCAATTGTATCAATTCTAGTGTCCCTCAAAACAATTCAGTGTCTGTCCCTAAGTAACAATTCTGGTGGCCCTAAGTAACATTTCTGGTGGCCCTAAGTAACGATTCTGTGGCCCTCGGGATAACAAATCTGTGTCCCCTCCACTAACAAATCTGTATGTCTGTCCCTAAGTAACAAATTCTGTGGCCCTAAGTAAACATTCTGTGGCCACCTCAGTAACAAATCTGGTGTCCCTCATAACAATATCCTGTGTCTGTGTCCCCTAAGTAACAAATTCCCGTGCCCTAAGTAACGTTTTCTGTGGCCCTAAGTAACGATTCTGTTGCCCCTCATTAACAAAATTTTTGTACCCTACGACTAACAATTCTTGAGTCTGTCCCTAAAGAAACAATTCTGTGGCCCTAAGTAAACTATTACTGATGGCCCTACAGTAACAAATCTGTGTAGCATCCCTCAGTAAACAATTCTGTGCCTGTTTCCCTAAGTAATCAATTCTGTGTCCCTAAGTAACAACACAGTTTCTTCTGTGGCCCTAAGTAACGATTCTGTGGCCCCTAAGTAACGATTCTGTGGCCGCTCAGTAAACAATTCTGTATGCCCTCAGTAACAATTCTGTCTGTCCCTGAGTAACAATTCTGTGGCCCTAAGTAACGTTTCTAGTGGCCCTAACTAACGATTCTGTGGCCCTAAAGTAACGATTCTGTGGCCCTAAGTAAACGTTTCTGTGGCCCTATGTTAACGTTTCTATGGCCCTAAACTAACGATTCTGTGGCCCTAAGTAACGTTTCTGTGGCCCTAACTAACGTTTCTCTGTCCCTAACTCTCTCCCTGCATACAGCCAGGTCTGCCTCTGTTGAATGACTGCAGGCAAATGGAGAATTCTAAAATGGCCGCCATTTATAGCTCGACCATTATCACTGTGCTGGCTGGCTGGCTGCTGATTGGCTAATGCGATCCACATGTCATGAATGAATGCATTATGGGTCAGCGCGCCTTGTCTGCCGCACCTTCCCAGACATCCCCGCTCCGTCGCCGCACATGTCGCCGCCATTTTAGGAAAAAATTTCGATTCGCGCATATCCGAAGTCTGCTTATTTTCGGATTCAATGCGAATCGAAATTTTCCTAATATTCGAAACGAATTCCACTTCGCCTACTTCGATTCGCTCATCTCTAATTATCACAACTTATCTCCTCTGTCCAGCAGTTTATGCAGCTGTGTTGAGGAGTGGAAATGATGTCCACTAATCATCAGACCACAATGAGATGTAGCCATGAAGGTGAATAGCAAAGGCCAGTTTATTTATGTGATAAAAACATCTAACTGACCATTGGTGTAAATATCTCTTTCCCTGCTTCACTAGCAGAGAGGTGCTAGCGAAGGTTTACATATATATACAGTATATAAATATTCAGCAGCATAACCACATAGATGCACTGAAACATACTTTACACAAAGAAAAGTGACTCTAAGATATTTGTATGTGAAACAGATTGTAGCCTGTCAGTCCCCTGCATCCAATTCATTGGATGTGCACCTCATCATGTTGATATACTGTACTTAGAAAAATCGTCACTCAACCAAATCCAGTTTGTGTGGTTAACCTCTTGACGCCAACCGTACGCAAACATGCGGCCTCTCGGGGGCTGGGCCTTGATGCCGAGCGGCTGAATATTTCCGTACCATTTGAAAACACATATGTGCTGAGAAGTGGAATATTCTGCAATGGCCAATGTCAATCACCTGATCTCAGGGCACCCAATTGCCAGCATTTCACTTGCTGAAGGCATCAACAAAATATTAAAAAGACCCACATTTTATTTATGATTATATTCAATTGAAGACAGCTACTTTTAGAGTCCCTGCAAGGCATCAGAAAGGAGGAATGGGCAGTCTTTGGTACTGACCATTTGGGTTCCAGAACTCAGGCACTGTGAGGCCAGTAAAGGATAGTATCAACAAAATATGAGATGCCCCTGGTACCTTTTTCATAGACTTTTTTGAGTTTTGGGCAAGGACAAAGGGGTTGATCCCCTATTGACTTTTCAGTCCCTTGAAAAAGGGGGATGGGTAATCTCAAGAGCTGTAATTCCTAAACCCTTCCTCCAATTTGGAATGTACATACCCTCAAATTAAACCTGAGAGTGTGCACTTTCAGCCCATATCCATTATATAACTATAGCTTCAATATGTTTTGGTAAATACCTGATAAATCTAACATTGTGCCTTTGTCCAAATATATATGGACCTAACTGTGTATATATATATATATACATATATATAATATATATATAAATATATATACACACAACACACACACACTTTTTTTTCTTTATATTTTATAAACATGTTACCAGGGGCCCAGGGCTATGTTTATTGCATTTTGTTTGTCCTGCTTTCTTTATTTTTATAATGCAGCATGGGAGAGAGCCCTTGTTCACTTTTGTACACATTTTTTTTTTCACTGGGTATAGCATTCTCTTCTCCATTAGAGAACATAATTGACAATATGAACATGCTCTCCCCAGAGATGTTTATAGACAGTGAATAGCAATGATGTGTTAAGTTGTACTAGATTGCATATTAATAAATGTACACCAAAGTGTCTTACTCCTCTCAGTACTGTTCAAGTATTTTGGTGTCTTGCTATCCTTTCTTTGTTTATTGGGGTGCAAGCACCTTAATATGTATATTACACACATGCTAAGGCAAGTTTTAAAAACTGTTGTTGGTGTATTTATAACTACACACCATGAATATGTAGCAGTGTGAGATTTACACTTGTTCATATAAGAACAGTAAATACATGTAAAACAGGGAAAACAACCTAATGTTTTAGAACCGAAAATATAAATTAACGTTAATAAATGAAAAAATAAGGGACACAATAATCAGAGATCATGTGAGATGCGATAGAAGTTCAAAAACACCCAATAAAGATTTTAGGTCCTAAAAAATTGGATTGTTTGCCTGGCTTACATGTATTCATTGTTCTGACATGAAAAGACTATAATACTTGCACACCTAGCTGATATGCATAATGGTGGAAATTAAAAATAAAACTCATAGTGGTGTCTCAATCCCTTTATTGCATATGTACTAATATTCCTATAGATTGTGTAACATTTTGTATATAAGAATAGATACCACTGCTCTGCAGCACAGCTTTTGAATGGAAATGGTGTCCACATTTTCCATGTTACTGTTGACTGTCAGGAGTTTTTGAATGTACTTGGGCAAAGCTGGCAAAATTCATCCAATGTGCCTGTTTTCTCTGCTAGTTATATACAGTATGTGCTTTTATTTCAATAGTGGTAAATGTGTTCTTACTAAATGGATTTCCAATTAATAAGGTCCATATGTGCTGTGGGTAAAATACAGGCTTTGATGCAACTTGCGTTTACATTCTTTTATATTCTTAGAAAAAATATACAGTATTTCACTTTTTTTTTTAATCATGATTGCTCTATAGTTGACACATTGCTTGTAATATCAGCCATAGCCTTGGAAGGTAATGGGCGGAAATGTTTGTCATTGATATAAAATAATTGAAAAACCTTCCCAGGAAGCTTTCTCATTTTTTTTTTTTGCTTTGTGGGTTTCATTATCTATTCCTTGTAACCTTGTTGCAGTTTTGGAAGATTTTCACAATTCCCTGCAGTTTCTCAGTTTATTCATCTGGCTTTTTTGACACAAATAATCTAGGATCCCCAGTTTTCTACACCCTATCTTTCATTTCCTTAGTATTCAGCTTTGGTGATGCTTATCTATTTCATTTTAGATTGTTTGCCGTGTATTGATAAGAAGAAGCAGGTTCATTTCACAGTAATTATTATTGCTGTTACTGCAAACACTGTGCTCTTGCTGGAGTTCAAAACATGTCATGTATATTTTCTGTGATTGCACATCTACAACACAGGGCTCACCAATGGGCACTGGCTATAGGAAAAAAGCAATTAAAATGGTTCATGTGAACAAAATGAAATCAACTAAAAAAAAAAATGAAAATACACCATTGCTGTCACTGGCCAGTACTAAAAAATGCAAAAGCTCACCATTTCTTGCTGCTTCAGTCTCAGTGGGAGAGCCTAAACATTTGTGGGTTGATTGGTGAAAACTGTAGGAAAAGTTGTACTGTTACACATAGCAACCAGTTAGTTTTTATGATGCATTCTCAGGCTTTTTGCTTTTTTACCGTTCCTCATGTAGCAAAGGACAGCTTGTGCACAGATAAGAAGAGGTTCTGCATTGTTACTCAACTAGCTTCTGACCACAATTCCATTCTGCTGCCTACCCAGGGGAAGACTGACCATTTGAGCACTCGGGCACTGCCCGAGGGCCCAGGGTCAGTAGGGGGCCCCAAGAAATTCCCCTGGTACCTTTTTTATAGGCTTTTTTGAGTGTGGGGCCCCAAGATCCCCTATTGCCCGGGGGCCCCATGAGTTGTCAGTTTGCCCCTGTGCCTACCCTGAACTCTTGCTTGTCTACTTTATCTTGCTGTCAGCTGTTGCCAATCTGGATGTATCTGAGGGTTTTGTGAGGCTGAGAGATTTTACATATTAATATGTTAGTGAACACAGTATTATCTGGGTTGCAATGCTCATCAGTTTTATCTAGGTAAGGCAAAAAAAAAGAAACCTCGGCTATTTGAAAAGCATTACTTCTCTCTACAATTAAGCCAAATCTGAGTGAAATGCATCAGAGGACATGGCCAATAGGCAGAGATTGTAGCTGAAGCCTGTACTTTCACTTTGAGATGTGGTTTTTATATACAGAGCACGGCTCAGTGCTTTATAGTTTTCCCTAACAGGTAGAAAAAAAATCCTTCTTGATACCACAAACCAGTTAGATCCATTTCTGGCTATAAATAATAGCATATTTGTGTTTTTGGTATTTTATCTGGTTATGTCTTATTTTTTACAACTTTATACACTGTAATTGCTACTTAAATTTACATTAGATTAAGCTCAATTCAATAAGTGATAGTGCATCTGCTACTTGGATTATTTTCACCAGAAAAATAATCTTTTCAGTTGTTTTTAGTTTTTATTGTTGAAAATAATGATTGTCAAGGCAAAATTATAATCATTATAGGATAGTGAATTGATTATCTCTTATACTTATATGAGCAGCCTGTAGCAATATGTTATATGCTGTGTATGGCCTCTAGGGGTCTCACTACTTAGATACTGGTACAGCTGTGTTATTGCCTCTCTTTGGTTGTAGTTCTAGGGCAGACACATGTATAATGGCAGCTAGAAGCACCTAATAAAATGTCTCCTGTTAACTACAGTGTGTGAGCATCTGAGCAGGATCGACTAACAGAACATGGTGGCAGCTGGGCACTGAACCTCTGAATAGCAAGTCTTCTGTCTACAAATACAGATTGTGTGACACTGGAACTGTACAGAGAATCAGCAACTGTAAGTACAGAGTCCCTATCAGACTGCACTATGGAGAGTGGCCTGAAACCCCCTCAGAGACTGGATGTCACTTCTTCCAATCTCTCACAGACATGGAGACACTGGAAGGAAGAGTTTACTCTGTATGTGGACCTGACAGTGGCACCCAGAGATGAGCAGAGGGCAGTAAAGCTGTTTTATTACTTGATTGGGGAAAAAGGCAGAGAACTAGCCGAGACCCTGCTCACAGACAGCATGGCACTGACAGACATACTGCAAGCATTTGATAAGCACTGTGACCCCCAAAAAGAATGAGACGGTGGAGAGATACAAGTTCTTCTCAAGGAATCAGGAGATTGGGGACAGTGTGGACAGATATGTGACAGAGCTGAGGAGACTGGCTGCAACCTGTGGATTTGGGGACATCAGGGACTCCCTTATCCGAGACAGGATAGTGTGTGGCATCAGAGACTCTCACCTCAGAGAAAGATTACTGAGGGAGGAAGAGCTGGCGCTGGAGAAATGTATACAAATCTGCAGGGCTGCAGAGCTGACTAAAGACAGGCTGAAGATGATGGAGGGCACCAGTGATGCCTCAGTACATGCAGTATCTGTGAAAGGCAGAGCAAGGTCCAGGCTCCCTGTGAGCTCAGTCCAGTGTAAATACTGTGGCAAAAGACATGAAAGAGACAAAGAGAAATGTCCAGCGTATGGGGAGTCCTGCAGGACTTGTGGCAAGATGAACCACTTTTCAGCTGTGTGCAGATTCAAAACCAGCAAACAGTACAGACAAGTCCACACAGTGACCCAGGACACAGACGAGGACAGCACAGAGGGCATCACATGGCTGCAGCTGCAGTCTGCAACAGAGAACGTCAATGTAGTCAAACAGCCAGTAGCCAATGATGCAAAGCAGCTCTTTGCCATATTTATGGTGGATGAACAGCCCATAAGATTTCAGCTGGATTGTGGAGCAAGTTGCAATGTCATTCCATTTACACTGCTTAACAAACAGGTTCCCATTGAGCCCACTGATAAGGTACTGGTCATGTACAACAAAAGTGTTCTGAAACCCATGGGAACATGCAACCTAAAATTAAGAAATCCACGTAACAGAAAGAGCTACAGAGTGGAGTTTACTGTGTTTGCAGAGGACGATCACATTCCTTTGCTGGGAGTTAAAGCAGTTCAGGCTATGGACTTAATAAAGGTGCAGTCCCATAACATCATGGCTCTGGAAGTTTCTGACAATACTCAAAATCCTACACAAAAGGCAGAATACATTTTGGATTTTCACCACATAAAAACAGAGTATGCTGATTTATTTGAAGGTGATGGGTGCCTGGAAGGTAAATACAAACTAGAAATTGATCACACAATACAGCCTACCAGACTGCCTACAAGAAGAGTACCTGTAGCCTTAATGCAACCGCTTAAAAGAGGAACTGCAGGATTTGCACAGCAGAGGTATGATAGCACCAGTACAGGAAAGCACAGACTGGATAAGCAGTTTGGTGATAGTGAAAAAACCATCAGGCAAGTTAAGAATATGCATTGATCCTAAGCCACTGAACAAGGCCCTTAAAAGAAATCACTATCCAATGCCAACAATAGAAGATATTCTACCAGATCTATCAAGGGCTAAAATATTTTCGGTATGTGATGTGAAAAATGGGTTCTGGCACGTGGAACTGGATAAAGAATCAAGTTTATTAACAGCATTTTCTTCCCCATTTGGACGCTATAAGTGGCTTAGAATGCCAATGGGAGTAAGCCCAGCTCCAGAAGTGTTCCAACAAAAATTGATGCAAGCTTTGGAAGGACTGTCTGGAGTAAAAATAATAGCAGACGATATACTAATAGTTGGGGAAGGTGATGATCTAGAATCCGCAACAAAGGATCACGATAAAAAGATGATACAATTCTTAGACAGATGTAGAAAAAAAACAAATCAAACTGAACCTGGAAAAATTCAAACTAAAAATGACAGAAGTACCATATATTGGACATCTTCTTACCTCAAATGGTGTTAAAGTCGATCCAGAGAAGGTGAGGGCGATACAGGACATGCCGACACCTACAGATATACGTGGAGTACAACGATTCCTGGGCATGGTGAATTATCTTTCCAAATTTTGCAAGCATTTATCAGACATGTGTGAGCCACTGAGACAGCTAACTCACAAAGACGTACTCTGGGAATGGACAGAAAGCCATGAAACTGCTTTTCAGTCAGTGAAAAATGCTATTGCAGACGCAGCAACGCTAAAATATTTTGATCCAGATCAAGCAGTGGTAGTACAATGTGATGCCTCAGAAACCGGCCTTGGAGCCACACTAATGCAGGATAAACAGCCAATCACATATGCAAGCAGAGCGTTAACTCTAACAGAGCAAGGATATGCTCAAATCGAGAAGGAACTACTAGCGGTAGTATTTGGGTTAGAGAAATTTCACCAGTACACCTACGGTCGACAAGTGGTGGTGCATTCAGATCACAAGCCTTTAGAAAGTATTACAAAGAAGCCATTACTGAATGCCCCAAAAAGACTGCAGCGTATGCTGTTACGGCTTCAGAAATATGATTTTAACATTTGTTACTGTCCAGGGAAGGATTTACTGATTGCAGATGCCCTAAGCAGAGCTTACTTACCCATCACAAATGAAGAAGAAAAAGACATTGAAAGCATCAATATGTGTGAATATCTGTCTGTCTCAAAAGACAGACTGAAACAAATACAGACCTGCACAGCGGAAGATAAAACTCTACAGATCCTATCGACTGTCATCTTGAAGGGATGGCCAAAACACAAGCAGCATGCTCCAATGGAGGTTTTCTCCATTTTTTCACATAAGAGATGAACTCTCTGTGCAGCATGGAATCATCTTTAAAGGAGAAAGAGCTGTCATACCACAATCACTTAGAAGAGACATTATAGAAAGATTGCACTCGACTCACTTAGGTGTAGAAGGATGTCTACGTCGTGCACGAGAATATGTTTATTGGCCTGGAATGAATGACCACATAAAAAACTTTATAGCACAGTGTGAAATATGTGCATCGTGCAATGATAAGCAACCGAAAGAGACATTGCAACCACATACAATTCCAAACAGACCATGGTCAAAAGTAGGAACAAATCTGTTCACGTGGAACGACAAGGAATATCTGGTAACTGTGGACTATATTTTTTCCAACTTCTGGGAGATAGACTACTTACTTACAGGACACAAGGGCCAAAACAGTAATTAAAAAACTCAAGGCCCATTTTGCCAGATATGGCATTCCGGATATTGTGTTCTCTGACAACGCCGCTCAATTTACATCGGAAGAATTCAAAAAATTCAGGGAGAGGTGGGAATTTGAGCACCAGACATCATCTCCTGGATATCCGCAGAGTAATGGTAAAGCCGAGTCAGCAGTAAAAACAGCCAAAAGACTCATGCAAAAGGCAAAACAGGCAGGTACAGAGATATACCTGTCTATACTGGACCACAGAAACACACCCACACAAGGCCTAGACACCAGTCCAGCACAGCGGCTTATGAGTAGACGTACAAGGACTCTCCTACCAACTGCAGGTCAACTACTAAAGCCAAAGCTTGTGGGCAATGTTAAAGCCAAACTAACGGAGAATCAAGATAGGCAAGCTTTCTATTATAATAAATCTGCAAAAGATCTGCCTGTTCTCCAGAGCAATGACAATGTACGGATTCAGTCAATAGGGAAATATGACAAACACTGGAAAAAAGCGAAGGTTGTACAGAAATTGGGAGCACGGTCCTATGAAATTATAACAGAGGAAGGAAGAAGATGGAGGAGAAATCGGAGACATCTGAGAAAAACACAAGAAGGAGATGATACAGGGCCCTGGGAACAGTATATGGACACTCAAAGCGATGAGACTATGAATACCAGCAACAAAGAAACAGGAACTGCTGAGGAGCATAGGGAGGTCTCTAGGCAGAGAGAGACAGTCCCAGAAAATAGACTGCCAGA